ATCCTATACAACCATGCAACCATGTGGTATTTATGTTTCTGACCCTGGCTTATTTCACTTAATATAGTGTCCTTTAGTTCCATCCATCTTGTCACAAGTGAGAGAATTTTATCCTTTCATGGCTGCAGAGTAGTCCACTGCATGTACAATACACACCACGTATTCCTCAACATACTGATTTCCTGCGGACACATATGTACTGCGTAGGGAGTGGGTTCATCATCAACAGTCAAGTTTGTGCATCTCTTTCTCAGCTTTCTGCCATGGGAGGCAGTCAGAAGACCCTTACTAAATCCCAACCCCTTGATCTTAGACTCACTAATCTCTGGAATTGACAAAATAAATTTATTTTTATTATAAAACCTATACTAGTTTGTTATAGCACCCAGAACGGACTAAAACAATTAAATTTATGTATATAAAGTACTTAATAGAGTACCCACCACACAGCATTGAATAAATGTCACCTTGTATTACTGTTGAAAGTATAGTACTGCCTTCACTGAATTAATTTCAGGGACAGATGAATTCTCCCTTTTGCAAAATTATTTCATATGCCACTTTAGATATCTGAGAAATCACTTTGGATTGCCAGTTAATCTCTGCTATTTTTGAAAAACTTCTAGTAGAAAACATGAAATAGCATATTCAAGCTCTTCCAAAAGTACTTTCTAAAGTATACTGTTTTCTCTTATAGATTCTAATAAAGAGAAGAGTGAGATAAGCAGAGTCTTGAGAGTGTCACAGACTCAGGTTTGGGGTGCAGAGATGAGGAGTGCTGTTTTATAAGCAGTGGGCACCCAACAGAGAATGTGATGCAACCACAAGGACGACCAGTTCTCCACACTCACCGAGCAAATGAGCTGATCTCAGAACTCTGGATTTTCAAAGCTCAAGAATCTTCGGAGCAGGTGTCTCCATCTCCAAGAAGCATGGATTTTCATGCCACCTATTGGTCAGTTTTGAAAGACAACCACATTTTGTGAGCAAAGAAATGCATCTCCTTCTTCTACAGGAACCTCAGTGGTTCCCAGGTGTGTACTTGAGCGTAAGGTTTCCTGGGTCTACCTTGTAAATGTGCCTAGGTACTGAGAAAGAATGTCTATTGTGCCATGCCCGGGTGGAATGTGCTTATAAATATCAGTTAAACCACTTCTGCCAATACCTGTTTACATTTTCTGTACTTAGCTTTTCTCTGTCCTTCCCATTTTATCAATTACAGTAGGGGGGTGATCTCCAACTGTCATGGATTTGTCTGTTTCTCCTTCCAATACTGTCAGGTTGAGACTCACGTACTTTGAAGTTTTGTATTTGGATACAGATTTATTTAGAATTATTATGTCTTCTAAATGAAAAGTTTTGTATTTGGATACAGATTTATTTATTATGTCTTAATTATTATGTCTTCTAAATGAAAATGTGGTCTTAAACTTTCCATCACTGTGACATACCTCACTTTAATATTCCCTATCTTGACCTCTACTTGCTGATCTGTCTGATTTCATGTTATCATGTGATCTGATTTCATGTTATCATGTGATTTAAGATTTTTGGCCAGTGTACTTTTAAACTGTATGCTTTTTTGTATTTTAGGAGGTCTTATTTGCATTTTTTGTAGGCAGTATTCTTATATTGAGTTTCCTTTAGTAAGCATGTAGTTGGGCCTTGCTGTTATTTACTGTTGAAAAATCTGTATAATTGAACTGTTGACTTCTACTTAATTCAGTTACAAATACATAAGTAATGTTTACCACCTTACCATTTGTCCTCTGTTTGTCCCACTTTTATTTATTCTTTTGTTATTCTTTTTCATCCTTCTTTTGGATTGCTTGTATTTACTATTCCACATTTTCTCAACTCTCAGCTTATTACTTTTTGTATTCTGAGGTGTATCCTTTTCATTTTCTTATGGTTAACAAGTGCTTATTACAGTGTAACTTCAAATAATATCACAATATATAAGCACATTACAACAGTGTACTATCATTTATGACTTCCATCCTTTCTGTTGCAGTCATTCATATCATTTCCACAAGCATTGTAAACCACATGACACATGGTTTTGCATTTAGATAGTTATATTTTTAGAAAGTC